AAATTATTGTTGTTCTGAGCTTAAATTTGCAAAGATATTTCACCTGCGATCATTTTTCGTAAAGTTATGGGGGATTTGAAGAATTAATTTAATTAAATTAATTCCGCTTTTATTTAATTAATTAATTCCGAATTATTTAATTAAACCCGCTTTTAACGCGTAAGCGGAGATTTAATCAGTGTAAGAAATCGTTCCAAACTGGTTGAAATAGGCATATTTGCAGGAGCAAGTGTTGGAGGACGATTTTCACAAAAAATCTTAAATTGAAAATAAAAAGTTTGTTTTATTTTATTACATTTAATTTTTACATGATATTACTGCTCCCTAGACCTTAGAAGGCAGTCGAAACCTTCAGTGCTTGACCCCGATACGAGCAGTGTTTTTTCAATTACATTCAGTTTTTTGCAATTTGAGGTTTTATAAAGCTATCAAGCAGCTAGTGAAACGCTCTCGAAATCTCATTGGTGGTTGATGTGCGTTTAGATAAACGGGTTTACTCTGATATCAAAATTCAATTATTGCTCTTGAGATATTAAAATTTCAAAGGAAAACCAATGGTTATTATTGAGTCAATGTTGATTTACAGAAGGCAGTTTCAATATCAAAGGCTGAGCGACTTAAGTATTCAAGACCTTGAATTGAAAAAATTTCAGGAAGTGACCGTTATCTTCCCATGCGCTTTGTAGGACGAATTCTTCAAATAAAGTCCTCATAAGTGTTGTCAAAATCAGGTCAAATATGTAGCTTTTTTGCTTAAATCAACAGACCACAATTACGGTTGCCTGTATTGGTGAGAAATGCTGGTCATATATTTCCGAAATTTTGGCGCATTTTTTTTTCAAACAGTTTAAAATTTCATCAAAACCATTTTATTAGCATTATTCAGTTTTGTGGCCTTTGGAAATCTTCCAAAATGAAACTGCGTGGCTAAGATTGGGATTTCATGGCCACAAAAAATATAAAAAGTCAAATCTTGATGTCATCAATTTCGTCAAAAAAAAAGTCCTCGAAAATTTGAGAAATTTGACATAAAAAATTGTTATCATTAGATCGATATCCCATTTCCAATGCAATATAATTTTGTAGTGAACAAAACAACTTTTTCCTGACGAATATAAGTTTTAAAGGGTCAAACTTATTAATGTCATTTTCAAACAATGTCAAATTAGGACAAGAACAAAATCACATTACTCTGATTGATAGAAGAGATCAATCGATAGCCGGAACTGTCAAACCAAAATCATAAAGAACCAACATAGTCGAACGCGTACCTTGTTCGGCATACAAGGTCGATATTGCTGGCGTTCGATCCAAAAATTCGTAAACGGATATCATTTGATTTTTTCAGTAAAATCATGAGTCAAGACTTTAAGACTTTAGCCCGGGTAGCAAGATTTTGCAAAGGTTAATTGAGACATAGGTCTAGGTTTTTGAGCATACCTAGAGACATGCACTCTCTGAACTTATCAAAAAACTTGGCAAAATGGGAAAAACAATTTTCTTGCAGAAACTTTAACGGCTCATGAGAATTAAAATATCCTTGATCAAAATGCTTACAACCTATACTGATGTTGTTTGTTTTACCACACAGATTGACTAAGTAAAATTGGAAAAAATACAAAACATGGCAGCGGGTGCGGAGTTGCTTCTCCTGCTTCTTTGTTTTTTTTGTGGTCGAATTCCATTAGCATAGTACCGATTGAGAGTTTAAATATCATAGAAACAGTTACATGACTTGATTCTCCATGGCGCAATAATTAATTTTTGTTATCAATTTCTTAAAATTCTATCAAAAATTGTTTTGGTGATTTTCAGTCATCTAAGCACGTGCATCAAGCATGAAGCATGTACAGTTTCACTGATTATCTTTTTCCATCTTATCTCCAAAACAAAACTTAGAAAAATTTAATCATCAAAAAGTTACATTGAATGTTTTTTTTAATCAACACAAAATCTAAAAAAACTTAATAGAAATTTTGATCATTAAGGTGTTTTCCATCCAGTAACAATACAATTTTTTGATGACTAAATTTACAAAAATGTTGACCCTTGAAAAGCAAAAGTATAAAAATTATTTAACGTTATTTTTTATCGAATTTTTTTTTGCGTGATAGTAAAAAAAAAACCTAACAAAGCCAAAAATTCCCAATGAATTCAACCAATTTTGATCAATAACAAGAAAAGCCGAATCAAGTCAGATATAAATCAAACGACGAGTTGAGCTTTTCAACTATGAGAACATTTTTCAAAACTTTGAGTGAATGGGTATTCAAAGCTTCAACGAGAATGAAACCTGTATTTCTACCTAGATCTAAAAACATGGCATCACTGCATTTTAGGAAAACTTATAGAAAACGAGACGCTATGCATTTTCTGCGGAAAACTTGTGCAACTCAAGGAAAAAACATGGTAATCTAATGAATATATTAACTGTATTAAAAATTTGTGACCACCTTACTCGAGCACATAGAACAATTTTTACACACACGCAAAGCGGAGCTTCGAATTTTTTGCGCTAAAAAAGAAAAATGGCAATGCAAGTTAGCAGACGGGACAAGAAACCCACATTCAGTAAAAAGAAAAAATAATCGATTATACTACAATTATAAATGTACTTTTATCAAAATTATATTTAATTATAAGCGCCAAATTTAGATGCTTAAACGATTTATAAACCATTATAATGATAACATTTTTCGTGACATTATAAAAACTTATAATCAATTATGATTGATTATATTTTTTCCGAAAATACTTTATAATCTCTTAAAAACTCTTATAATCTCTTATGATCTGTTATAATCTATTATTAAAGATTATAATACTTTTTTCTGTGAAAAATCTTTAAAAATGAGATGTCTTGTCACTCTTTGGTTCATCTGAACACAAAGTTTTACCACGAAACAAAAATTTCATATAGATCTCTTCATAATAGTTGAAAGAATCCCGCGCAAGATGAGATATAACTTTTCTTTATAAATCATGAAACTAAAGCAGTGTGCTGATTTTTTGGTGGTCAAAAAAACTTACGATGTACATCATGAAACAACTATAATCAAGAAGAATTGAAAAATAAAATCGTTATAAACTTGAATTGATTCAAAAACTGTTAAAACATTTGCAAGCTCGAAGACAAAATGGGCAAACAAAAGAGTTTATATATAATTATAATGGATATAATTATAATGGATTACGATGGATTTTTTTTGCAAAACAAACAAACTAGATATTCGGATAAAAGTAATCGATTATAACCAATTATAATGTATTATAATGATTATATTTAATTTCAAAAAGAAAGCTTATAATCGGTTATTAATTGATTGAAATCAATTTTTTCTCAATTTTTGTAAGACGGGTACTAAAAACATTTTAAATTCGATTAATAACGCTTGAAACTGGATGCGGGAAGCCACTTAGTCTTTTGTGCAATCCGGATTGAAGCATAAAGCTTATTCTACCCTTTAAACGACCAAAAACCAGGTCACTGAGCCGAAATCAGTTAAGCCAATTAAAGATGCGAGTGTGCTTAAATCGAATATAGCACCATAGTTTTTACAAACTGACAGTTTTTAAACCCCCATAACTTTTCAAAAAATAATAACAGGTGAACTATAATTACACACACGATCTCAGGGCAACAATATTTTTAGAATGATTTTGAAAAATTCCATCAAAATTCCCGCGCTGGTGTTTCATGGGTAATAACTTTATATAGTTGTTTTATAGTCAGTATCCATAAAACTACATAAATAACCGATTATAATCCATCAAAAATGGATTATAACTCTTCTATTTTTATATCAATATAATCCGTTATTTTTTTATAATCCATAATAATTGATTATAACCTATTATTATGGACTTTTTGAGAAGTTATTGATGAATTTTGCAAATTTTGCAGTTTAACGTGTTACTTAATTGTTTTTTTTTAACCATCGTCATTTAAAAAAAAACTGCGAGTTGCTCACTAACACTCCAAAACGCCCACTACCTCTCCCCTGACCACTACTCCCCCTCAATTGAACGGGGGCATTTAATGGTTGAAGGGTTTAAATGGGGTGGGGGGTTAGTCAACTTAAACTTCATCACCACTTTTAACAAGCCCCTGTTTAGGCCACCGCTTCCCAAATTTACGAAGGGAGAGGGGTGGGTAACTGAAATGTTATCTACCAAATGTAAGGGTTAGAAAACTGGTAGGGGGTGGGGGTCAAAACTGGCGGGAGGGGGTTCAAAACTGGGAGGGGGTGTGCTCAACGTTTTTGAGTTTTTTTTTTCAATAAAAAAGTGGGTGTGAAATTAGAGGCTGTCAAACCCCTATCATAGGCTGTCAAAAGTTGAGAGGGGTGATAGAAATTAGGAGGAACATGTTCTCTTGGGTTCTGAATTTGCAGAACAATGATTTTGAAACAATTTGTTGTCTACTGACATTTTACAAAATGTCCTTGTGCAAAGATCTCTGCCAATCGTTTCAATAATTTAATTAGCTGTGAAAAGTTTTCTGCAGAAAAAAAACAATCGGTTTTTTTGAATTTTTATGGCCTAGAAAATTGATTTTTTTTGTCAAAATAAACGATTATAATGGATTTTAAAACTTTGAAAACAATGCATTATAATTCCCTCGTGGTTGGATGGGTCATGAAATTCAATTGTATGGGTTGAATTGTACGCCGATATAATCCGCTATAATCGATTATTTCCCATGAAACTCCAGTGCGGGATTGCTAGTTAAAAAGTCGAAATTGGTCTGGACAAAAAACCACCCGGAGCACAAAATGGAACAAAAATTTTTTTATACTTTTCTTTTTTACAAATAGTTATGAAAACCTGTCCCTTTTTTTCAACCAAAAAAACGCAATTTTAATTAAAAGTGGATGGAGAAAAATTTTAAAACTCAGTGATTTTCGAAACACGCAGTCCGCAGTTTTAGGACGTATAGTTTGTTTTGAATTCTAGTCTAGCATTGTAAATAAGAAGTTAAAATTCTCAGAGAAAATTCATTAAACTATTTTTTTTTATTCAACATCATTAAACTTGGAAAAATCAGAGCATACAATTTATTAAGAATAATAAATGGGCATTAATACTTATGGCTGCATAAAAATACCACAAGGAAGAGGCAAGGAGGAGATCTCTCCATGCGCTTTTTGGAACCGCACATAACAAAAAACTAAAGCAATGATTTAAGATTGTTTCATTTATACGTCAAAAATATTTTAAAGCAAAAATTATTTTTTGAACCAAATAAGATTAGCAGCTTCACAGGTTTAGTTTGACCTGGTCTTTGTCAAATACAGATGACCTTGAACTCTCTGCGGCGCTTCTCATATTGGCCCCAGAAGAAGGTCGCTGGTGTCCGCTGTAGAATCTATTTGAGGCTCCCGGTGGAAATGCACCTGGCGGAAGTTGCTGCATCGAAGACTGATTGATACTGCTGCTGTTGTTGTTGTTGTTATTAACTCCTGAGCCGGTTGCACTCAAGGAGCCAAAATCCATCACCTGTTAAGAAATACTAATTTATGTTATGGGTGATGAGTGCTTTGAGTCTCCAAATGGTCGTTGGAGTTCCCTATTCTGTTTCTCGGAAATTTGGGGATTTTGGAAACTTAAAAAACGTCGTCATTGATTTGCTGCATTTTTGTAGCATTCGAAAGACATCTTTAACATAATGCACCACCTCAAACTGTCTGTTTAACGTACGAGATAATTTTCAAAGACAATATTTTTCAGAGCCTCGGTTGCAATGTACAGCCGCCAAAAATGCTTGGTATGTAGTTAAAAAGTGCAAACTTGAGGTTTAAGTGGGACCACTTGAGTCGGCGCTCCACTGTGTTGTCTTCTTGACGCAGTGCCCCCTCCACTTGGGGGCCTCTTGCCACCGACTCCACTCATGTGTGCCGCTGGGGGAGGAGTCCTAACTTGGATATCGAGCACTGTGGGGCTGTGTTGTCTGTTTGATCTGTTAGCTCCCCCTCTCCAGTTACTGTCGCTGGAGGCTTGGGGGTCAGTTAATGCCAGCAGGGGCATGTCATCGCCTCCTTCGTTTATTACGTTGTTAGCACCATTTCTACAAAACATAGAAAAAACGCTTAAACTTTTTTACACCAGTTAATTTTCATCTCAAAAGTGGTTTCTTTAAACTGAATCAACTTAATTGATATCGCAGTAAACACATGTTATTTACTGGCTAGCGTGAGCTTGTGTTCGTGTTGCAGTTTCAACTCCTGTTTGGAGACCCCCTTCATCTCCCATAGCTCCTACCGCGTCCATGGTATGGCCATTACTATTATAGTCATAGCTATGGCCATTACTATAGTCTTGATGGATTGATTGCTCATTTTGTTGTTGCTGTTGAGCCGATTTGGCAAGAATGTCTCGCATCTCCCGCTGACCACTGTGCATACCCCGTTTGATAGGGGGAGCGACCCCCCGACCACCGCTTTTGACCCCTTCCCCTCCCTCTCTACTCTGAACAGTGGAAGCTGAAAAGTTGTTGTCTTTCCCACCTATCCTCTGTCCCCCATTTTCCATTCGGGGATGAGGGGCGTTGGGGTTATTAACTGCCATATTGGAGTTGGGTACTTTCTGTAGAGGGGGAAGATCTAAAAATAAACATGAAGTTATTACTATTTACATCACAGACAGCTTCTGTAAATCAGTCTTTGAAACATTTTCTTCTGTTTTGATCCATTTGGGTTCTTCTTTAAATATAAGAAGCAAATCCTAACTTTGAGGCTCTTCAGAAGTGTTTTACTATCCCAACCCCGACCTTGTAAAAAAAGGTATTCGTTGCCGAATTCTAGTTTTGATTTGTTGAGTTCTCTTTTACTCTTTGATTAGTTCTCAATAAAGTGGGCTGGATTCCCCAATAGCTACTATCGGGAAGTGTGGTGTACTATCAATATTGTTGGGAAGAGGAGATGTGAGACCTGGGAGTGTGTCGGTCATGGCCTGGTCGATGAGTTGTCTCTTGTGTTTCTCCTTGGCACTCTTCCAACTGCGCAGGAACTGCTTCAGACTCTCCGCCACCTCCTTCCCATCCAGCACTTCTGCAACAAACACAACAAGCTTCATTGGTGCCTGGAAGTCTGCAGTTTATTTTAATTAGTTCTGCAATTCTTATTAACGCAAATAAATACTACCGTAAATGCCTGAAAGGTGATCTAAAGATATACCTTAATTTCATCCAGTGGGTCACCGCGAGAGCTTAAAGATAAGGATCATTGAGACATAAAGTGGGTATCGACTTAGTTGTAGTCTTAGTAGTGGGTATCGACCTGAGCATAGTTGAAATAAGTATTTATTATCCAAGAATAATATTTTTTTTAAATCTAAAAAAGTTCGATTTTTTTCCATCAAACAAAATTTTTCTCGAGGAATTAGAATATTTAGTATCGCTCCTGATTGACAAAAGCTATTTAAGCTCACTGATGTTTTCGTTCATGGTGATGACTCTGTCCCTGTACTTGGCCTTGTTCACGAGTGGATTGCCATGCACGTCCAACTTAGTCAAGTCTCCCATCACTCCTGAGCAGAACAGAAGCAAGGTTAAGAATGAACAGATCAAGGTTCAGGTCAGCAAAGGACGAGCCTTAGAGATAAAAGTTATTTCAGGTTCCTAAAAAAAGGAGATGCGAAAAAAATTTATTGGTTGCGCAAGCCATCATGGAATGTTTTGCGGTTTTAAAAATTATTCAAAATTAACTATTCTTACACTTTAATGACAAATAGAATTGTCGTGTTGGTTGGTATAGATTAAAAGAGTTTGGGTATGACGATAAGGAACCTTTGTCATGATGGATCTTACGGCATGTGGAACCTCCATTATGTTGGATTTTATGGCATGTGATTAATGCAGCTTTGGATGTTATACTATATGCAGTCCTATGGCACATGAATGATGCAGCATGGGATTTCTTTACCACGTGGAATCTTATGTCACCATGGGCATTTTGGCGAGTGCGATATCTTTTATCTTACGTTCCAGGTTGTACCTGTGCCTACCGATAGTGTCCGCGAGGTCCTTCATGTCCTTGAGTTTGTTGTTGGACAGATTGAGTTGTCGCATTCTGGACATACATCTCAGCTCCTTCACACTGTCTATTCTGTTTCCACTCACATTCATCACCTCCAGACTCCTACTCAGAATAGTCCCAAGTCACCAAGAATATATTGACAAAATAGGAGACACACAGGGAATTTGAGTCTAATTACGGTAAATATAGCTACAGGTGCACCAATCTTAACTATGCTAGTGAAAATCAAGTAGTATAATTTTATTATTTTGCCTCCGTTTTTCTAAGGGTCGCCCTTTGGTACTGCATTTTAAAGCTCCATTATTGTCTGAAAATCCCTAGAAAGGTTCTAAACGCTCATTAGATGTCAACTTACTTAAGTTTTTTGAATTCAGCACGCTTCAACGTAGTCAGAAGTTGAAGTGGTTGTTCTGGCATAGCTCAGCCGTAGTTTTAAACTCTGATTTGTAAAAAAAACTCAGTAGTTGAGTTATGGCTTAAGCTCTGTGAGTGTGCATATGCGTGCATACCTGCATATGTTGACGAGAGACCTGGGGTCCCAGATGAGTTTCTCCCCTGGAGGCAGTCTCTGCTGGTCCACACTCAACTCCCGCAGACTCACCACTGTGTGCAGTCCCTCCACCACCACAATGCTATTCCCAGACAGATATCTAAACAAGATAGAATAATTAGCAATTGGCAATAGAAAGCCTTGAGAAAAGGAGCTCCGACACACTTACTGTCTAAAGCATATCCCTTTCTGATATCACCTTAGAACATCCGTTCTGACCAATCCTATAGTTTTGCTAAATCATTCAGGGTGCTATTATGCTCTAATTAGGGTGAGAATTCCGGAAAAGTATACAAATTTGGTCAAACCTTTTCTGGTTCGTTTCTCAAAAGCGCTTGTTCTTCAAAAAACTTTAGCTAAATAGTGTCGGATTTTAGCTAAATTGTCATAGGCATAAGAGAGCTCAAAAATTAATTATTTGGCGTAGAAAAAAAATTGATAAACTTTTAAAAGCGTTTACGATAAAAGACTAGCGAACCCTACATGTTCTGACTTACAGTTTCTGTAGGTTAGTGCAGTTAGTGAGTCCCTCTATCCGCTGTATGTGGTTGTTCTGAAGGTAGAGGTGAGTCAAGTTCACTGCGAAGTCCAGATTGCAGATGGAGGGGATCTCGTTGTCATACAAATACATCACACTCACTCCCCCACACACACTCAGATCACTGCCCTAAAAAGAAGAACAATAGGCTCTTTTTGCCCTCACTCAAAATGTTCATGCTATTATCCCATAATGTTTTGTAATGATAAGTTTGACATTTGAAGTATCTACCAATTTCTAAAAGAGTTTGGTCTCAGATGTTAACTTATCGACTACGCCACAAACGTGACGAGGAGGCTAGAGTGTAAAAAATCGCCCTGAAAACTGATGTCGTTTTTTCTGCCCTATGTCAGCATGCAAAATACTGCATTCTATTTCAGCTGAGCATAAATCTGTACATAGAAATTTGAACCTTTTGGTGGTTTGTGAAGCACAAGTGAGTCACGTTCAACTTTTTTTGTATAACACTTCAAACCGATAAATAGATCTCACTATATGGTCGATGCCTTTCTCTGGTAGATTTAGATGCGTGAGTTTGCGAAGGAGCGTGCCGGGAGACTGGTCTCTCGCTTTGCCAGACCCCCTTACTCCTCCTCCTTTCTGACTGACACTCTTAAGCACCAGATCGCAGTTTAACACCACCATTTTAGACACCCAGCGTCACTCCTGCTCCAGTCTCAAGGTCCTGTGTAGAATATACAATTCTAAACATCAGATTTCGTCATATATTTTTGTGTTATTTCGTTCGTTTCAACTATAGTACCGTGAACTGACTTGGTTTGGATTTTAGTCTTTGATGGTCTCTCTCAAAATAGTACTTGCATTTACTGTCGTGACATCAGGTTTTTTATTTCATTCACAAAAAAAATGAAAAGCAACGTAACTAGTCAAATTTTTTATTCAAAAACTTTCATTTTTTCTAATTTTTTTTTAATTAGTAAACGACAATTATTTAGGCAAAGAAAAATGCAGAGCGAAATTTGAAGATATATAACAATGGACAGTAAAATTAAATTGAGTATCATCGAGTTACGTGATATTTGTCGGAAAATCGGAATAGTTTTGATCAATTTTCTCGACAATGAGACAACTTTAGAAAAAAACTAGTGCTGATATTTTGATGGTCAAAAAAACTAAAATGTTGCATCATGAAACAACTCTAATGGAGAAAAAATGAAAAAAAACAGTATAATTTTGAATTGATATGAAAAACTTAAAACAGATTTCTCAATTTTCACATAAATGAACGCCTACGAAAAGCATAAAATATTAGAAACTCCGACCCAAGCTCGAAAACAAAATAGGCAAACAAAAACAATTACCATCGATTATAGTGGTTTTTTTAAATTCAAATTTGAGATAAAAATAATTGATTGAAATTGATTATAAGCGATTATAATTGTATCGAAAAATAGAGGGGTCATTATTTGATTATAATTCGTTAAATTTTATTATAATTGATGATAATTTGATTTCAAGAAGAGAGATTACAATCGCTTTTTAATTGATTGAGGTCTTACACACAATTTTTTGGTCGTGTGAAATGCTAGTTTGACAAGCGTGAAATTGTATGACTGTTTTTTTGTCGACGCGGGATCTGATTCAGCAAAAACCTAGAGAAGGACGGAAAAATTATGTCAAATTTATGCTTTTTCTTTTATTGAAGCTCTCGGAAAAAATTTTCAACTAATAATTGCTGACGCTGTAAAAGTCGGTTGAAACAGTCTTGCTTAGTTTGTGGTTGAGATTATTTTAAGTTAATATTCGAATAAATTTTGACTGTTTCTGACAGCTAGGTCAACTCACAGCGTATAATATAAATTTAAACTCAAAAAAGAGTTTTCTGTATGATCGGAAATAAAAGAATAAGGTGTCGGTTTTTCCAAATTGAGGAAAAACTATAAAATTCTTGACCTTATAGTATAATCATCTATTTATCAAAACTATAATCATCAATTTTCGGCATTGTTGAACACTCTTTCGTTTTCGGCAGTGTTGTAGTTCGGCACTGCTGTATTGCCCCGTTTCATGTCATAACCTTTTTAGAGAGATTTATTCATGTGAAAGGGCTTCAATATGATATATCACTCAACCCGTTCCAATGACTAGTTGTGCTACTTGATTTTGCGTGGAAAACAAAAAGAAAAAAACTAAAAGACACCCAAATACAAAGCTCCTTCCCATTTTCAATGGTCGCAACAAAAACTGATTTCAAAAATTTCTTCAGTTCTATTGGCGATGAGTTTTTGTTGATTCTCTGTCGAGTGAAATCACTATCTGCAGAATAAAGTGTCTTACCTGTTTGTGTGACTAACTCCTAATTGTATGGGAATATTTCAACTGTTGCTATACCACCGCCTTGCATAAATAGTCTGATTGTTTAGAAACCCAAAAATAACAGATATTTTCTTGTGGCAGTATACCTCAAAAACAGCTGCTGGTTTGAAAGTGTCACTTGTTTTTCTAGCTATGTAATAACAATCATCAGTCCACAGTCAGTCAAAGTAAAACGAGCAAAGAAAATATATAAAATAGATTTATCAGATGTTGATAAGAGCGGTTATTGACTAAAAGCTCATGATGAGATGATGAACGGTTTGTTATGCATATGGTTTTACATCAAAAAGATTTAAATTTGAGTACATACGAAATGGTATATGTCTGCCAGTTGCACGTGCTCCAAAAACTACAGAAAACTGACGCAACAATGAAAACGTAATCATATAATATATCGTAGTCGCACAGGTATTATCATACCATCTGCGTTTAAGCGCTGAAATTTTTATTTGTTCGTAAGCATATTGCATATACACACACGCGCCTATAGAACGATAGGACGAAAAAAAATCACAGAAAATGTTATACTGCTTTTCAAAATTGTGAAAAAATGCATTTATTGCAATTGGATACCAATCGAAACTCTATTTCTCAGCTCTCTTTGTAAAATAGCCATGAGTACTGTTCATTGAAATTGTTTATATTCACGTCACAATTGTAATCTCAACTGTTTTATTTATTTTGTTATCATTTCTATCATCTCCAACTTTAATTTTTAAAAGTGGTTAATTACTAACATGCAGAAGGCGGCGGGTGCAGTTGGGGCATCTGATTCTGGTGGGGTAGGGGTCAGTGTAAGTATGAGGGGGAGGGACAACAAAGAAGAAGAGGCAGAAGTCAGCGAGGGACTGAATAAACTCAAACATCTAGGTTCGCACCTCATTATTCAGATCTTCTTTTTTTAAATAATTTGACTATACTTGCTCATACTCGTTTAAAAAACATACTCATTTAGAAGAGAACATACTCATGTAAAAAAACATAATTAGCTGATTGCTGAGCAGATCCCAAAAAAATCTGCATAGATACCTACCTGTGTTCGGAACACTCCGCGCATATTTTGCTCAGCGAACG